GTTACTAAGAAAAAATTCTAGAATAACTAATTAAACTCAGAGATTTTTTCCATAGCATAAGGTATTTAATATCAACGTTGCATACTAATCAGATTTTCTTTATTATTCGTTATGTAAAGAACTTTACTTAAAAACTCTATAATATTTTTACTAAAAAAGAGCCATCTTCAGCTATAACAATAAATGAAGATTGTATAAAAATTTGAAAAAATATGCAAGACTTTAGAATTTTGGAATAAACGAAAAAAATATCTTTATTTATATTTACCTACTGTAATAATAGAATGAACAGAGAAATAGAAATAATCTTTATTCAAATAAACTCATTACAAGCACTTTTGAATAGTCATATTTTGATTCTACCACTCATTCGGAATGCAGATTCATCACAAGAAGAATGAGCAAGAAACTTGTGTGTTGCTCTTTTTAATAGATGTTTTTTATATAAATAATTACAGTATAACAAGTAAGAGGCATGCGATAATCAACATAGAAATCGCTACGCACTCATTATTAGTGTAATCAGATAATATTGTCAGTGCTATGGATTTAAAGTTTTTCTATAAAAACATTATTATCGTTAACGAGAGACGAGCGGAACGTAAAAAAAATTGTACCGTAAATGAAAGCACTTTTTTTTTTATTAAGATGTTTACGGCTCTGCAAAATAATAGCAAGTATATTTATAATATTGTAGGTGGAAAGTCAGTCCATAGCGGTTGTAGTGACAGATCATATCTTTTAATCAGGGTAATCCATTATCCTATTATGAATTAATGGTCCATTAACCCGGCCGAGACCAAAACACTCTCATTAAACATTAATATGTCATTATTAATTGGACTTCTTATTAGTTATGTACACATGAATAGCTTCTACGAGGAATTATATCAGTTTTCTACAATTATCTTATCTAATTTGTTTAAACATCTCCATCTAGACCTGGACAGTTTTTACCGAGACCGACTTTTAAAAGTCCATTCTAATATTTAGATAGTGTAAAACAAAGTCGCTCCCGCTAATTTTGCTTAGATCTTTTAAACTAAGCAACGGATTTTAATGCAGTTTTCAGCGATAAAGAGTCATTCAAGAGGAAGGATTGTATATATCACTAGCTGCACCCACGATTCCGTCCGCGTGGAATTTAACTTTATTTTTCTAAAATAAAAGTTGTCTAAGTTACTCCTTATTACATCAGCTACCTGCCAAAAAAAGCCCCGTCGAAATAGGTCCAGACATTTCAGAGATTAGCCGGAACAGAAAGACAGATAGAGAAAAATGGTAAAATATGTTATTTTGGTGTATGTATCGTATTTATATTCATTTGCATGTAGTAAAAAACGGTTATTTAAATGTTACTACGTATAGATAACTACGTAATTCACACAACGCCATCTAATTCCAAGTTAAGCAGAGCTTGTATAGGTATTACTAGACAACTGATATAAATAGGTATATAGATAAAATTTTTTTGTTAAGACATACATAATATATAGTTATATAATACATATATACTTGTGCAGAGCTAGGGCAGGCAGCTAGTGTTCTCTATAACGTTACAATTTTAGTATATGTACTGCTGAGGTAAGTACTACGTAAGAATAACAACATCATGAAGTGCTCTATATTTTTAATATTGTTTAAATCCCTGGCGGATTACTAAACTAACTCATAGTATAATAATCCACCTATCAAAAGGTTTTAACCCAGATACCTGGAAGTCGTTGCCCCCGGAGTAAAGGGGTTCATCCAACTTTCATCCCTTAGGGGTTCTGCATGACCGGGTCATATTAAAATTCGTCTGCGTGTGTTCCTCAGTCGCACCTATTTCAGCCGACAAGTAACTTGCTTTGTAATCTGTTTTTCAGTTGTATAGTGAGATAAGGCAGTATATTACAATATACGGATGCATAACATCTTGAGTAGAAGGGACAGGAATAGTTAGTAATGTGGACAACCATAGTACCATGTCGGCTTGATCTCCACGAGGTTCCCCTGGAAACCATCATAACAAATTCGTGGTGAATTGGTCACAATCGGCTAACTGATCTGACATGCTCGTCTTATCATCCTCCACTGGTGCCCGTAAACCTTTAGCGCAGGCGGGTGCACTATATTATTATCATCCATAAAAAAAACATCTTAAGAACAGATGAGTGGAATCACGGGCATCACATGATGATGTGTACTGATCATATACACATATATATAAGCGGTTGCTCCTGACCATCAAATGGTGCGTCAGTTTTCGTGTCATTATAATTATACAAATAAAAAATAAATATTAAAACAGTATTTATTCAAACAAAGCACTTTTGAAACTTTGCAACGCAGACTTATCACAAGAAGAATGAGCAAGAAACTTGCGTGTTGCTCTTTGAAAAGATACATTATTACAATAAATATCAAACAAAATAATTAATAAAAATAACAATTCTACAATAAACTATCATAAATTATAAGATTATTATCAACTAAAATTAACCCGTTTCGTACCCAGCCCAAAGATTTCCACAAGCTGACATTTCCACGCTGAATTGCTAGCGTAATCCTTCGAGCCGGATAAAATAATATTAAAATAAATAAACAGTTTCATAAATATTTAAAGTAACCAAATAAACTCCTTATCATTACTTTTAATCATGCAAATTCATTGTTCGTCACACCAAATTTGATATTATACGATAAAGAACTGATACCACAGAATATAGTTCGCAGTCATCATTTTTAATCTGTATCTGATAGTAATTACGCCTCTACATAGATAATTATTGTACGCGGAAGATCAAGTAATACTGGACAAATTATCTATAGCAATTAAATATACTGTAGGTACTAGCCAAGTCTGCATAACCTTGAAGAAATTACTTTTGTTCAATATTGTTTATATTCCGTAGTTATAAGTGAAATGTGAATAGAACAAATAGGTAGCAAGCCTGAATGTTGGCATCCGCGGAAGTTGGGAAATAAAAAAAATAACCTTGACCACATCAAATTTATATCTTCATCGTCTTAATGATTTGACTGTAAGAAAACAATGTAGACACCATTCAGAAAAGATTTTTGCCATTTTGATTGGCAAAACAATTATGCCATAATAGTAGTTTTGTACTGTTATATACGATACCTGTATATAAGTACATAAGAAATAACGGAAATAATTTCGAGATTTAAAATAGACCTAAAAAAAGAATCTCTATTTTTCATCCAATATTTACATTTTACATTGTACTTCTGCTCGTGCTTGTTCTTGATTATTCTAGGCTTGCACCGTGCTAGGAATCGAACCCGCGACAATCGGAAGTAAAGCGGCGTAATAAACCACTAGACCACCGGAGCCCTTCAATAGGAGTACTTAATTTACATGTATGAATATTATTTCGATCGTGCGGTTTAATTAAGTAGTTTAACTCCAAATAACATTACCGCGACAAATTAATAGTTCATTGTGAAACGCTGAAATTCAATATTATCTACTTAATTTTTTATACGGATATAATTATTTCATGATATTATAATTGAAAATGTTCGAAATTTATCATTGTGGAAATGCAAAATATATTTTATCGAATTAGGTGTTATTTTGCGAAAGTTCCTTTCATTCATTGATTAATTTCACGGCCTCGGTGGTCTAGAAGTTTAGCACACCGCTTTACTTCCGATGGTCGCGGGTTCAATTCCTCGCTCAATATTTGTATTTATGAGTATGATTGCCAAAATAAGTATCTATGTATTGATCTCACAGTTGTTAAATACCCATAACACAAACTCTGCTTAACTTGGGACAAGACGGCGTTATGTCATCATCATCATCGCAGCCCGGAAGACGTCCACTGCTGGACATAGCCCTCCCCCAAAGATCTCCACGACCTTCGGTCCTGCACTGCTCGCATCCAATGCCTTCCTTGACGGCGTTGTCTTGAATTGGGTATATTATTATTAATATTTTATCGAGCTAAGCAGAGCTTGTATGATGGCTACTAGACAACTGATATGAATACAGTTTATTTTTATAAATACATACATACAACATAGAAAACACCCAGACCGTCACAAACAAACTCATGAATACATTTTTTTGTACTGTGCGAGAAATAAACCCGCGACCGTCGCAAGCAAGGCGGTGTGCTAAAGTGAGGTCTTTAATTTGTAATTATCGTAGTTTTGACTTTATCACGATTAAAATTTGTTTCTCTATTTGGCAGAACAAAATTCTAAAATATTAGTTTTTGGTTATTATAATCGTTTCATAATCACTACACTGACCAGCATGTGGTTGAAAGAACTGTACCCGGAATTAAATCTTTCTTAAATGTAAGAGCAATCTCGCCATATAAATCTTTCCTAACTGTTAGAGCAATCTAGAGAGTTGAGATCGATTTATTAAAATAATACTAGCGCACGTGACAAAACTATGAACACGCTGCGTTTCCTTTCATCTTTATAAGAATTAGTGATCGACCAGTGGTCGAAAATCGACTATAATTAATATAAATTATAGAAGTATAGTCTTTGAAAATAGAGTCTTAATAGTGTTCAAACTTAATACTATCCTTCTATAATCATAAACATTAATTTGAGTAAAAATGGGTACAAGGTTTTTGCTTCACGTATAAATATAATTATGATAAGAAATAAAAAAGTTAAATTTATGTCTGTATATTTGATTATATTTTATTTACGTGTGTTATATTTGTAATTTACCTATATTTGCGTCTATTATATTTAATATAAAAAAATAGTTATTTTCTTTAATGCGAGTTAAAATTGCATATGTCTTTCTTGGAGCTATCTCTAATTTCTGAGTAGGTGTGGTATACTCAATTAATATTTAAATGAAAATTACGATTTCAACAATAAATTAATATACATTAGATATATTAGGTGTGACATATGTATATTTATTAAGTGAATTAGTAATAAAATTGTAAATAATCAACTATCTTAAAATAAAAACAGATTGTGTACAATTTGAAGTTACGAAATTATTTTAATTATATTATAATATCATTCTGAGCCTGTAGCTACCGTAAAAAATATCTCAATATGTACTTATATAACTTAATGCTTACAAACTTACAAGTCACAATTAAACACATTTGTTAACACAACAAAATACAACATCACTTATACCACACTTAGGTACTTGAAATGGCAAATAACAAGACACTTCTTAAACTTCTGTATCACAAGAATCGATTTAAGCACAGCTTAAAACTTGAGCGTTTGTAATTTGTTCAATTAAAAAACCCTAGTTCAATATGTTAACATTGTACTATCATTTACTACTTATAATTAAGATTAAGTTTATTGAATCTTCTTCTCGTCTTTCTTGGGCAAGAATAATGCGACGAACTTCTGTAGTAACTCTGTGAATATTAGAGTACCAATAAAAACTAATAATGTCCCGATCCAGTGTCCAAAAGTGAAAGGATTCCTGAAGTAGACAATCGAGAACAGTAACGAGACAAACTTCCTTAATGTGACCGTTAGAGTCACTGTTAGGGAAGCGGACTCTGTGGTTAACACATACACTGCACTTATGCACAGTCCTTGTGTCGATACATATAGTATCAGCCAAAGAACTTGCCTTGGGAGAATGAGACCTAAGAACTCGACGTTGGGCGTCTCTGTCGCTAATTTGATATGCGTAATCAAATTAGACGACGTTGGCAACCAGAACACGAGCGGCATCAAATGCGTATAGTACAGCGCCTCCCAAGGATGCTTCCCGTATTTAGAATACAGGGATTCTTGGAATATCCCCATCCGGGCTGATACGAATAGGGCAAAGGTTAAAATGGCTATCCCCAGACACCACCATAGCCAATCGATAAACTTCAATCTTTCCTCTTCGGCGGCATCTTCATGCGTCTCTCTCGGGGCTTTCACGTCGCCACTCGACTGTATAGTGCATACTGCGATGCCGCCTGAGATCATGAATATGGCCAAATATTTCAAGAATGGATACTGTTTCTTCAGGATCCATACGCCCATAGCCATGTTCGCCATTAAGGAGCCGGCCCTGAATATCATGTGGAGTGGCATGGAGATATTGAAGTCGAAAGCATAGTTGTTGGCAACACTGCTTGTCCAGAAAAAGCCAACTAGTATGATGTATTGTTTGAACGGTATGTTCCTTTTGGCTGTCCCGAACTTGCCCACTGTACAAAATCCTATAGTTGCTATGAACAGGAACTGTAGAAAGGTCGCCAGGTTGCCAGCACCTGGGTCCTCCTTTACTACCATTTCTAGGAATACTACGTTGGAACAGCATCCAACGAAGACCATAGTCATGGCCAAAGCCGCTTTTACGTTCATTTTTGATCTGAAATAAAGTTTAAAAAAAATCAATTACATATCCACAGTAAAATATATAATGAGAGCTACTTGAAACGGCAAATAACAAAAAAAAAGTATAAATAATAATGAACTTATTTATGTATATGTACAGTTATTTCTATAATATACTTATAATTACTACTAATAAGTTCTGATAATAAACAACGATTACTGATATCCAATTAAATCAAAACATATATTATTATATACACAGCAATATCGTAATTCTACAACATCAACTCCTCATTAACTCATTATTATTACCTAATAACATATACAATGACAATTGAAGAAGCAATAACTATATGTTTACTACGCACACATACATTTGCATTATAGGTTATGTAGCCGGAATTATTTATGTAAACTAAATAACAATAAATGGATTAAATACTTACATGATTACTGTATTTGGTGAACACAAATTGTAATTTAAAAACACTAAATATCACAAAGTAATTTACATTATTGATATAAGTGACAACATTCACAGACGGCCGAGCTGGCGCTAGTGTGCGTTACATCGTTTGTTGTCGTGACGTGACCGTGGCCTCGATGATAGTACGCATGCGTGGTACGTCGCCTTGATAAAGCAGTACACGTTGAGCATGACAATAGATGGCGCTAATCAAGAAATGTGTTGACAAGGAGAAAAATACTTGATAAATTATTTTTTTTACTTTTAGTATTGCATTCTATTCTATTAATTCAATCACTTAAGTACACATTTGAATTTTCAATAATATATTTAGGGATAAATTTCGAATGTAATTTCAAAAATAGAGTTTCCATTACCACTAACTTTTTAAAAAATAATCGCAACTTTTTTGAAACTGTCAATATTTTTCCGGACGTAAATATATGAAGAAGCAAATGGCTCTCCTTTATAAAATAAATACTATAGTTATATCAGCTGCTTTATCCCACAACAAAATACCATACGACATAATGCCATAGAAATAGTTACAGTAGACAAGTTTAGCCGTTACCACGTCTGTTAATTGTCTATTTGTCCGACCGCATAAGCGGCTGAACTAAGTCGACTCGCCAATTTAGAAATATGGGTACCCCATTGCAACTTGGCGTCTAATTATGATACCTAGAAACACAATATCATCCAACCAAATTACCAACCGATGTGATTTTTAAATCTTCCATCCTTACATTGGGACACGTAAATTTTGCATTGTATAATCATTTAGAAAACCATTAAAAAAAAAGAAAGAGACCACTGTTTTCATCACCTATTGAAGTGTAAATAAAGAAGTTTCAGAAAAGAAATTTTAATAATGAAAGTGCAAAAAGTAAATTGTCAATTTGAGTTGATATCAAGAGTAAATCGTAATCGGCAAATCATTTGTCATGACGGCCTCGTATCACGTACTTAAGTAGCTAAATATCAAAAGCATGCCCCCGAGTGGCGATAAAAATAGATTTATTACACGTTTATTACCATAACAATAAGTTGTGTGGACCTAAGCTCCCAGAAATGGGTACCGATTGAGGTTAACAGGGGTTTTCTGTGTGTAAACATTAGCGCAGGCCGTTTTAGACCTTATTCCGATGTGTTATCTTCTATAATTGCGGTAATGCCGCTGATAGTTGGTCTGACTTAGGGTTTCCGAACGCTGAATCTTGAATTACACGAATTGTGTCAGTGAAAAATACGCTATGAATACTGAGCAGGTATTATGCTGTATAAAAACCCTGTTATTAGAGAATTTAGAGTTTTTTAGACTGTTACGTCTTAACGGTTTACAATTTACATAGAGTTCCGTAAAAACCTCACGTAATGGAAAAACCGATAACAAACTAAAATACCGATAGACCAACATAAGTTCGTTTCACTTCATTTTAAAATTAGACTCGTATATTTTTGAAATGGATGATAAATGTATGGAATTCTGCCCTCACCAAGTTTTATGGTGCCGAAACACCAGAGGAGGATGATAACATGAACGTGAGGTCAGGTCAATTGGCCAATTGTGAGAAATTCACCAGGAATTTATCACGATTGTTTCCAGGTGGATGTCATCCTGACATGGTACATTATTACCAATGGGGTCATCAGTCCACATTATTAGCAATACTCTTTCCCTTAAAAACAGGTTATGTATCTATATATATTGATCAGAAAAAATAAATATATACTACAATATTTAAAAAATACAGACTTTTTTTTTATTTAGGATCACAAATAAGTGTTACAATCATACAATTAATTTAATTATGTAATGGATTATCGTCTAATTGTTCAATTATTGATTTTGCAAAACAATATTATATTAAAAAGAACAAAAATATCTTAATTTATATATGTATATATATTTTACTATTCCAATGGAGCTATTAATTGGTCGTATATATTTTTTGATACGCACTGATTGTGTCGAAGTGGATGTCTACGATGTCACTATATTTGTTCAACAATTTACTTAGCTTTTGCCAGCGGGTTCGCTCACGTTAATTTATCCCCTTAAGGGTGGAATTTATCAAAATCCTTTCTTAGGGGATGCCTACGTCATAGTAGCTTTATGCGTGCAAAGTCTCAGCCCGATCGGTTTAAAATTGACAAAGTTTCATACAAACTTTGATCCCCTATTTTATCCCCTCGGGGGTAGAATGAATCAAAATCCTTTCTTAGCGGATGCCTAAGTCATAACATCTACCTGCATGCAGAATTTCAGCCCGATCCGTCCAGTGGATTGGGCTGTGCGTTGATAGATTACTATGTCAGTCACCTTTGAGTTATATATATTTAGATATATATTACAGCATATTTCGTCGGTTAATTCTCACCCCTTAATATACATCGTCTCTACCTACGACATAGTATAACTATCCCGCATCATATATTAATAGAAATAATCTTTATTTAAATAAACTCGATACAAGCACTTTTGAATAGTCACAAATTTTTTATTCTACCACTTATTCGGAACAAGAAGAATAAGCAAGAAACTTGCGTGTTGCTCTTTTAAAGAAATGTTGTTGAGAATTAGATTAATATAGGAAATGAAATGTTACATTATATTGCAACATGCGATTTAATTACATATATAATTCTTAGTATTAAATTAGATTGTGACTATATGTTAATTTTAGACCGTACTTTCTACTGAAATTTTGGCCAATATGGCGGAACGGAAATGTTAATTTTAGACCGTACTTTCTACCGAAATTTTGGCCAATATGGCGGATCTAAATTACCTATGCAAGAACACCTTTAAGCCTATGTTATATCCCATAAACGATTCAAGATTTCAGTATCCGTAATATCCAGTTTAATCAAAATAAACCCCGCTACTGCTCTTCATGCAAATTTATGCCAAAATGGGCGAAACACTAGCGATTAGTTAAGTTGAAAACCGATAAGACCGTACTCACATTCATCTATAAGAGATAAAATAACTATCTGTCGAGGTTTTCTCGAGAGCCTAGGGTTTTTCATTTTAAAATATCTTTATTCATGTAGGTATGTCAATCTATAATTATAACGAACACTCCGGTTATGGAAACATCGTTAACAAAACTCCAAATTAATTCGTCCACAGCTCGTAAGAGACGGGAGTAGCCTCTTTAGCAACTTGAATCAAATTAAAAATGTCTCTGACTATCCCATCTGGTAAGAATAGTCGTGAAAGTATTTTGATTTCGTTACTACACAGTAGCAAAATGAAAATCAAAATATCTTTATTCATGTAGGTCTATTACAGACTGTTATGATATGTCAAATCTACCGTCAGTTCGGAATGATTTCGAGATGAGAAGAACTGGAAGGGTATATTAAGGTTTCTTAAGGGTCGGCAAAGCGCATGTGACACCCCTGGTGTTTCAGGCGTCCATAGGCTACGGTAACCGTTTACCATCAGATGGGCCGTATGCTTGCCACCTGCGTGGTATAAAAAACGTTTACACGTTTTACGTTTTTTACTACGTTTACATTCAGCCGCTTCCCCTGCCACTCGCGCTGCCGTAAATATTGCCGGGCGACAACTGAGCGAGAAGGCTGAATGTAAAAACACGCTGCCACTCGCGCTGCCAGTCCTTTGACTCGCGCACGAAAAACCGACAATCAAGGGAGCGCCGGGCAGCGCGAGTGGCAGCGCCAATGGCATGGGAAGTGTTTCCACTCTCGCGCTGCTCACTTCCCTGCCCACTCGGGCTGAGTGTAAATTGGGCATTACAGACAACCTAGAAGAGAGGACTTATGTACATAGAATAGGTATGGGACACACATAAGACACTATATTTACTTAACGAATAAATAGACATACATAAATTAAGTATAAATATATAAACCTACATATATGCATAAATCTTATTAATTATAAACTATATATTATATTATTATAAACGCGAAAGTTTGTGAGTATGGATCGATGTTTGTTACTTTTTCATGCAAAAACTACTGAACGAATTTTGATGAAACTTTGCAATAATATAGCTTACACATCAGAATAATATATAGGCTATAAATTTCAAGCGGGTAAAACTGCGAGAACAGCTAGTATTTTATAAACTATACACTATATCAGTCATCCTTCAATACATTTCACTTCTCGAAAAGGCTAAAGACCTTCGACGATCAGAAATTCAATAGGATCTATGAAACGTCAAGTTTTTTCAACCCCCCGATACAGTTCTATGGTCATAAATCACACCAATCTACATTTACAATATTATTAAAACTGACAATAGAAAACACTCAGTAACTAACATTAAAAAAGTAACTTTAAGATTTAGTAATACAGTCTAAAATCGTCTAAACACCGTCGAAATATTGTCAAGTCAGTGTAGTGTTACAATTATTTTTCTTGTTTTTACCCACCGAAAACAAGGTTTCTTTTCTATACCTATGTTTGATACGTTCTGAGGAAATGCTATTTAACAACCAATAATATTTTAAATTTTGAATCCAAATTTTATATTTTTGTTTTTATTTATTTATTATTTTTTACGGCCCTAGATACAAGTCCTTTTTAGCCCAACATAAAGTACAAAAACTTAAAAACAATCACAGTTTCTTCACAGTGTTGGAAATAAATTTATATAAAGTTTTTTAGTAGATAGAGTGATTCAATAGGAAGGTTTATATGTATAATACATGTACACCCGTGGGCAGCCAGGGTGTGTAGGTAGTTTAGTATAATTTGTATGAACACTTGAGTAAATATTGGCAACAACGAACTTTATAATTTCTTATTAAGTAAATGATTCAACCTTGACACACCCGACGTCATAGCGATTGTTCAATAGCTTTTTTACTAAGCGCTTATGTTTTTTAATACTCGTATATTTTGGCGGCAAACAGCCTGTCTACAACAAGTTCATAGACAAAAGGCAATTTTTATTTTTAAGGCGAGCGTTCGGAAAATAAATCGAACATTGTGAAGCGAAAAATTTTATAATAATTCGGTTGATAAAACCACATGTCTAAGTTACACAAAAAACATCTATACATATAAATAAAATTGGAGTGTCTGTTTGTAATATTGAAATAACTGTTGTTTACTACATGCATATTA